GAATCTGGGCCAACTGAGCACCAGGCAAGCGCCTGACCCGCTATGCTATCTGCTATCCCACCCCCCCACCCCTGTCATTTAAAAAATATGAAGACAATAGATAACAGAGAGTTAAGAAACTCCAGCCTCTCTTCAAGGACACGGCCAAGGAGGTGGGTGAGAAAGCACAGAAATGATTAGGAAACAGTAAGTTCTGTGCCTTAAGAGAGATGAAACAAACATTCCAGAAGCAAAAGCTCCTTTCGGAAAAACCCAACTGCAGGATCTGGAAACCAAGCCCGGCCTTTTGTCCTCTGCCATATTTCCTGGTGTCAGGCCACTAACATCCAGTAGAGATCTGGGAATGGGGCAGTCCACAGAAGAGATCTTGGGACGTGGAGTTTTTGGGGTTTTTTTGTTTTTGTTTTTTCTTTTTGGGTCACACCCGGCTATGCACAGAGGTTACTCCTGGCTCTGCACACAGGAATTAGTCCTGGTGGTGCTCAGGGGGACCTTATGGGATGCAGGGAATTGAGCCCGGGTTGGTCACGTGCAAGGCAAATGCATTACCCGCTGTGCTTTTGCTCCAGCCCCGGGATGTGGTGCTTTTATGGTACATTTTGCTATTCCCCATCCAGTCTTCCTGTGGGAGGGGACAGAGAAGTCCTCCCAGAGCTGGGGAAACAAAGGGGCTCATTCAAAGCTGGCAGAGGCTGACATTCACAGCGTTCTACCCTGAGGGAAGAGACAGCCAGGCTTCAGAAGCAGATAGGATCATGAGAGCCTGTCAAGGAGACCCAGCGGCCAATGGCAAAGTCGTCCCAAGGCCTCTCTCCTTTCTGCACCCCAAAGCACTGATTAGTACCATGATTAGTATGATGAGCTGCCAGGGAAAAGTGGCACTTCTGTGGACAAGCCAAAGAGGCCAGGGGAGCCTGCTCGGAGAACCCTGTGTGAAGGAGTGCGGGCTGGTCACTCGTGTGTGCCTGAGTCACACCAGAGAAAAGGAAAGGCTATGTTCAGAGCCGGGACGGGCTGGACTGAGGGACAAGAGGGAGGCAGGAAAGAGAAGATGTATGAGAAAGGACAGGAACACAAAGGGGAAAATCCCAGACTTACAAGGACATCATGAAATTTGCATCTAAATGGATCAACATGGAAAGTGTCAATGCTAAGTGAAATGAGTCAGAAAGAGAGGGATGGGGCCCCCCCCCCGGAGTGATAGCACAGCGGGTAGGGCGTTTGCCTTGCATGCGGCTGACCCGGGTTCGATCCCCGGTATCCCATATGCCCATACGGTCCCCCAAGCACCGCCAGGAGTAATTCCTGAGCGCAGAGCCAGGAGTGATCCCTGTGCATCACCAGGTGTGGCCCAAAAAGCAAAAAAAAAAAAAAAGAGAGAGAGAGAGGGACAGAGAGAGAGGGACAGACATAGAAAGATTGCACTCATTTGTGGAATATAAAGTAACAGAATGGGAGACTAACACCCCAGGATAGTAGAGAGGAGGTTTGCTCCTCGGCTTGGAAGATGGTCTCACATGCTGGGGTGGGGGTGGGGGGAGATCAGATAGAGAAGGAACCACCAAGTAAAGGGTGTTTAGAGGACCCGCTAGGGATGGGAGATGCGTGCTGAAAGTAGACTATAGACCGAACATGATGGCCATTCAATACTTTCATTGCAGACCACAACACCACAACTGTACCTCACGGTGATTCATTAAAAAAAATTTTAAAAAAAAAGAACATCACTGATGAAAACAAGGAAGATGCCATAAGACCTAGGAATCAGAGAGACAGGCCCTCACTGGACACTGCTCAGCATATGAAGAGGCTGGGTCTTGGGTGGGACAGCAGCTAAGAAGGACAGGTCTGGGGCCAGAGAGACAGTCCAATAGGTAGGTCAACCCGGTTTGATCCCTGGCACTGCACAGATTTATTTCCCTAACCTCTAGCATCGCAAGGAGTAATCCCTGAGCACAGAGCCAGGAGTAAGTCCTGAGCATGGCTGGTGTGTCTACAAAAACAAAAAAAAAAAAAACAAACCCAAAAAGCAGGTCAGCATGGGTGCGGAGGGGGCTGGGTAACAGACTCCACCAGAGGAAGGGCTAATAGGTGAAGGTTTCAGGTAACAGGCTGTGGCCAAGAACAGCAGGGACTGAGAGAACACTGAGAGAGGAGGCTGAAAATAGAAGGAGATCATGTGGTAAGCCACCCCTGGGCTGGAGGGGCTCAGAATACGAAGCCCTGACAGCAAGGGGCTGACCTGGGTGTGAGGACCTGGGGGGGTCCCAGTGAGACAAGGAGGTACCTCAGGGGGAGTTTGAGCAAGAATCCAGGGCGACAGAGGGTGAGATAGAGACTGGGGATGTGGGCAAAGCAGGAAGAAAGGTATTTTAGAGCTGGGGGCCCAATCACCTGCTCTGACCTTTTTGAAAGACAATATGGACATTCCTTAAAAAAAAAAAACAACTAGGAACTGAGCTTCCACATAATCAGCAATTCCACTCCTGGGAATATCCCCTAATGGCCCAAAAGCAGAAAGCAGAAAAGACATCTGCACTCCTGTGTTCAGAGCAGCACTATCCACAACAGCCAAAATCTGGGAACAACCCAAATGCCTACGAACGGACGGAGAGTGGACTGATAAAGAAACTCTGGTGCCCCTTCACAATGGGATAGTACTCAACTTTAGGAAAAGATAAAGTCATGCAATTTGCTGCAGTGCAAATGGATCTGGAGAGTATCATGTTGAGTGAAATCAGCCAGGAGAAGAAGAGACCCAGAAATTTCTCTCTCATATGTAGGATATAAAGAAACTTTATATTATAAACACAGAGGTGGGCTGGGGGACGGGAAGGAAAATGGGGACACTGGTGAAGAGTGGTGGGCACAGTGAAGGGACTGGTGTTGGAACATACGCCCGAAACGCAATTGTAAATATCTTATTAACTCTGTAATTTACGGGGATTCCAGAAAATAAAAATGAACAGATGAATAGCCAGGGTTCCAGAGCCAAACACCAGGGGCAGGTTAAGCCATGGGACAGAAAGGGACACAGAAAACTTGGGGATCAGACAGGGAGGGAGGGAGGGAGGGAGGGAGGGAATGTCAGCCTCAGAATTCAATTAACAACAAAAACAAAAATCGGGATTGAAAAGCTGAGGATGATGTGAAAAACGCGGTAAGTTTCAGGGCAAGACAGAAGACAGAACAAGCAGGTTTTGAAAACTGGGTTCAAATCACAGCTGTTTGCTACCTGAGTTTCATTTCCTCCACTTACGACCATACTGAACCAACGAAAAGAAGAAAAAAAAATGGACGATCAGGGGAAGTAAGTTGAAATAATTATCTCTTGGGATGGTTGAGAGAGAAGCTTAATCTGTACACTCATAGCTCGCCAGACAGAAGGCGCCGGGCCGTGAGTGGCAACCATCCTTAAGGCACTACAGGATCAGGAAGGAGAGAAATGAGGCGGCAGAGTGGAGGAGAGGATGGGCTATTAGGAGGCCAGAGGTGGAAAGATCACACAAGGTGTGGGTCCCTGCTGAGTCTCGAGCACTGGGACAGAAGCAGAACCATTCGGAGCCTCTCAGCTTCTGTGGAAGCTTAGGGCTCCCCACAGGCCGAGCATGGCACCATTATCTCCCTCTCCCTGAGGAGATGGGTTCAGACAGGCTAAACGGGGTGCCTGAGTGCTAGAGCCAAGGGTCATGGCCCTTCCTTCAGGAATGCAGGTCTCGGCACATTTGCACATTCCAGGGCTCAGAAACATTCTACCTGATTTTGCAAAATTAACTGGTGAAGCCTGATGAGGGGACATGGGTATGGACCATTAAGTTAAGGGTCATGGGAATCAAGGCTAAAGGTCTGTGAAGCGAGTGGACCCTGGGCTGGTGACAAGAGTGAACTTCCAGGGCAGGGCACATCCCTGGCTGCAAACAAGCATCGCAAACAGAACTTTACAGCCCCAACGAAGGACGAGGCCAGGGCTGGAGCAATAGCACAGCGGGTAGGGCGTTTGCCTTGCACACGGCGGACTGGGTTTGATTCCCAGCATCCCATATGGTCACCTGAGCACCGCCAGGGGTAATTCCTGAGTGCAGAGCCAGGAGGAACCCTTGTGCATTGCCGGGTGTGACCCCAAAAAAGCAAAAACAAAACAAAACAAAAAAGGAAGTGAGAGGCCCCCTAACCCCACCATACCACAGTACAGATGAGAAACTATGGTCCAGGACAACCGACTTCTCCCGGGTCCACCATCTCGGCAGGGACAGATCTGGGGCCTGAAAGCCCGACACACCGGTCCTAATTCACATTCATCTCTCTAGCCTCCAGGGCACCTGCGTGGTACAGACTGGGCGCTGGGGAGTCATGTGCTGATTGACACTTGGGGGTGGTGGGAGGGAGGAGCTGGAGGTGGAGAGGAACGTCAAGTCAGACAGCCGGGTGGTTTCGGGATGGATGAAAGGCCCAGATGTAACGGGGGTCACGAGGTTACCGACCAGTGAGCTTAACAAACACTGAAGGTTTTGCAAAATGACCACTGAGCGGCACACAACTGCAGCGAGGCTGGCCCGGGGAAGCCACCACCAAGTCTGCGGGCGGCAGAGGGGCGGACTGGGGGAGGAGGAGGTGACCGGCGGGGTCACCAGCCAGGAGCAGTGTGGGTCACGTGGATCACTGGCTTAGGGTTTGAGGAAGTCACTGGGTTTGTGGGTCCCCGGGGCAAGCGCCGGGAGTGGGGGGGGAGGCCGGGGGGGAAGGAAATTCCCGGCCGGGCCGAGGCCAGGAAAAAGAAAACGCGGGTTCCCTCCCGGGTTTTAGGGTTAGTGGGTGGGAGTGGGGTGGGGTGGGGGGTGGGGGTGGGGGGGAGGCGCGTGGAGGGGCCGGGTGGGGGAGGGGCAGGCCGCCGGGCTCGGGACCCTCCTTCCGCCCCCCGCCGCGCCCCCCACCCGCCGCCCCACCGCGCCCGCCGCCCCCACCCGGCCCGCCGCCCGCCCGCCGCCGCCGCCGCCGCTTGCCTCGCGCGGTCTCCAGGTTCCCGGGCCGCCGCACTTTTCCTCCGCCGCCGGCGCGCCTCGCCCGGGCCCCGGAACCTGGCTGGGCGCGTCCGGGCCCCGCGCCGCCCCCGCCCCCGCGCCGGCCGCGTATCCCGGTTCCGGGGCCCGCCGAGCCCGGGAGGCCGGCGCCGGCCTCTAACGCTGCCCGCGGCCGCCCGGCCGGGTGACGCACCGCCAGGCCCCGGCGCCCGGGAGGGCGTCATGACGTCACGCGCCCCGGTCGGGGGCCGGGTCGTCGCCGTGGCGACGGGGGCCGCCACCTGCTCCGCCCCCCGGGCCCTCGCGTCCCGCGCCGCACCCCCCCGCCCCCACCCCGCCCAGCGCCTTAAATTGCGCTCAGCCCCCCACCCCCACCCCACCCCCGGCAGGCGATGGGGGGGTGTCCTGGAGGAGCCACCGCGGGGCCTTTCCAGCGGGGACCACGCTGAGGGCCCATCACCCCTCCGCTCCCACCCACTCCAGTTCAGACTCTGAACCTGCCAATTCCTGGAGAGATTGCTTGTTTGTTTTTTTTTGGGGGGGGGGGCGGGCGGATCACTCCTGGTGGGCTTCCGGGGGGACCATATGGGATGTTGGGGATCGAACCTGGGATGACACGTGCAAAGCGCCCTAAGCGCCGCCGTATTGTCGCTCCAGCCCCACAATTGGATTTCGATTTTTAATAATTACACTGTGGCGTATTCCATATGCCAAACACAGTAACGAGTCTCACAGTGTTACTGGGCCCGCTGGAGGAAGTCAGTGAACACCGGGAGGACAGTGACAGTGACACTGTGATTTTATTGAGAGGCGTCTGCGTTACAGCTATACGAGCGCAGAGCTGTCAAGGGTCAAAGGAGGGTTGAAACTTAGGACAGACTCTGCAGACAGGCTAGCTGACGGTCAGGGATGGGGACCAGAGAATTTCTTTGCAGCTGTTCATTTGCAGGGAGTGAGGAATTGGAGGAATCTTATTTTTTTGGGGGTGGGGGACACCTAGCGAGGCTCAGGGGTTCCTCCTGGCTCTGCACTCAGGAATTACTCCTGGCGGTGCTTGGGGGACCATATGGCATGCCGAGAATCGAACCCGGATCAGCAGTGTCCAAGGCAAACGCCCTCCCAGCTGTGCTATTGCTCCAGCCTGGAATTGGAGGGATCTTAAGGGAACATGGAAAGGATGTTAAGAGGGTCCAAGGACACAGTGCGGGGTCAAAGCACACACTTTGCCAGGAGGCTGGCCCTACTTCCGTGCCAGCACCACGTGGTCCCCAACATCTCTCCCATTATCCTTGGGCCCTTGTGTGCACTGTGGGACTGGCTGCCTGTGAATACCCACCTTGGCCCCCAAGCCCAGCTGGATGTGTCCACAATGTGGGGGAGGCAGCTTTTGGTCAAACAAATGATAAAGAAGGAGAAGAGTAGCATAAAGGAACCTGGTCAAGATTGTCTTCCACTGAGGTATGGCCTAGACAGAGGGGAGGCATCGCCCCTACAACCACTTCACTTTCATTTCCTTATTTTGAGTGTGTGCGTTTTAACTTTTTAGGGGTGGAAGATGGGTGTGTTGGGGCCTCATCCTGCATTACTTAGGGTGTTCACAGACCGTTTGTGAACCTGGGGATTAGACTGGGCTTGGCAAGTACTTTACCCTTTGGACTGTGTTCATGCAGCCTACCTCTGAATTTAACTTCTAAAAAAGTTGTTCCTTTGGGGGTCAGGGTGCTCAGTTCTCAGGCATCTAGTCAGACCCGCCCCGTGCAGGGCAGCACATTACCTGCTTTACTCTCTCTCTCCACCGCTGCCCCCACTCCCCAATTTATCTTTTAAAATTAGACTCGAGAAAAAGAACAGCAGGTCCAGAGTTTGTCTTGCATGCACTCGACCAGCGTTCTATCCTCAGCATCCCATAGGGTCCCCTGATCCCCACCAGGAGTGATCCCTGAGCACAAAGCCAGGTATAAACATAGCCGGTATGGCACAAAAACCAAAATAAATAAATAGAAAATAAAATAAATTTAAAAGTATTTCAATTTCAATAAACTAGAAACATTTACAAAGTGTTAGATTGGGTTTGCTCTGTCAAGCCTACGTTCTCTCTTGAACACTTGGCTCTCTCTAGGTTTTACCATTCTGGAGAAACTTGTGCTCTCTCTCTCTTTCTCTCTTTCTCGCTCTCTCTCTCTCCCTCCCTCCCTCCCTCTCTCTTCCTCCCTCTCTCTCCCTCCCCACCCCCTCTCTCTCATTGAGTCACACCTGGCAATGCTCAGGGATTACTCCATGCTCTGCATGGAGGAATTACTCCTAGTGGCTCCAGGGAACCCTATAGAATGCTGGAATCAGTCTTGGGTTGGTCGCATGCAAGGCAAGTGCCCTACCCTCTGTGCTATCTCTCCAGCCCCTTGTTTTCTTTAGAACACATACTCCTCTTTTTATCTCCCCTCAAGTCTTTCTAAGTAAACTTTATTCAATAAAAATTATCTTGCTTCACACACATACACACAAAGTATTAGGTTGGGGCTTAGAATATCAAAATTGAAAGCTTGTGATACCTAAACTGGTTATAGATATGTTCAGATACTAGATATTAGAGAATCTAAACTGAAAATTTGGGTTACTGACATCCCTTAGACCCTTAGACCTTCCCCTGTCTGAAGAGTTTAAAATCCTTTTCATTTTAGACAACCCTTCTTTCCTTGCAGAGGCCAAGATCTTGAACTCTTCCAGGCCAGAGTTGCATGAGGTTTTCAGTTTAGAGGAGCGGCCAGTGACAGACTGATGGCGCATTCTTTTTATTTATTTATTTATTATTATTATTAATATTATTATTATTATTATTTTGCTTTTTGGGTCACACCTGGCAATGCACAGGGGTTACTCCTGGCTCTGCACTCAGGAATTTCTCCTGGTGCTCAGGGGACCATATGGGATGCTGGGAATTGAACCCGGGTTGGCCACGTGCAAGGCAAACGCCCTACCCGCTGTGTTATCACTCCAGCCCCAGCCCACTCTTTTTAAATTTGGGTTGGTGGAGGGGGGAGGGGCACCTAGAGGTGTTCAAGGGCTGCTCCAGGCAGTGCTGGGGAACCTTCTGCTGCCTGGGATCTGGAAGGGCTCCCACACACGAAGCCTGTTTTCCAGGCTCTCCCCTTCCTTAATGGACCATTTTGTTTGTTTGTTTGTTTGTTTGTTTGTTTGAGGGCCACACCAGGCAATGCTCAGGGGTTATTCCTTCTTTGCACTCAGGAAGTACTCCTGGTAGTGCTGGGGGGAATATAGGGGAGGTCAGGGATCAAACCCAGGTTGGCTGTGTGCAAGGCAAATGCTCTGCCCTCTGTACCCTGGCCCCTTATAAGATATTTTTCATTAGATACAGAGAAAAAGTAGTTTGTCCTGTGAGCATAAACCAATTAGAAAAAGAGCAGAGATAGAACTCACCATATAGTCCTGCTTTGTCCTCTGCTCTTCCAAGTTTTCTGTCACTTTTTAAATTTTGTAATAAAAAAATTATATTTGCCTTTTGTTATATTCTCAGGAGATCCTAACCTGATTGATTAATCATGTCTTCCATTACACATTTAACAAAAAAATATAAGAAACTTGTGTCTAAAGTTAAATGAAAATATTCTAATGTTGAGGAATGTCAGGTCTTCTGGTGATCAGCTGAAGAAAATACTTTGGAAAGGAGGATTGAAGATGATTTCTGAAAGCTTCTGTTTTTCTGACCTTCAAGCCTCTTTACCCTAACAAACCATATAGACAATGGTGCTCTTCTGACCTTTCTGTTGGGGGAGGTAGTTTGGACCACTCTCAGTGGTACTCAGAAGCTATTCCTGGCTCTGCACTCAGGTGATGCTCTGATTCTCCTGATGATGCCTGGGGGACTAAATGTGATGCCACAGTTTGATCCAGAGTTGGTTGCTTGCAAGGCAAGTGACCTACCCAGCTCTTGTACAATCCAATCCTTATTTATTTTGGGGTGGAGGTAGGTTGAGGGCACACCTGTTGATTCTCAGGGGTTACTCTGACTCTGAACTAAGGAATTACCCCAAGTGGTGGTGTTTAGGGACTATATGGGATGCCAGGGATCGAACCTGAGTTGGCTACACACAGGGAAAGCACCTTCTCCACTGTATTATTTCTCTGGCTCCTCTCCTCTTTCCTATTTTTAAAAAAAGGCTATATATCGGGGGCTGGAGTGATAGTACAGCGGGTAAGGCGCTTGCTTTGCACGCGGCTGACCCAGGTTCAATTCCCAGCATCCCATATGGTCCCCCAAGCACCGCCAGGAATAATTCCTGAGTGCAGAGCCAGGAGTAACCCCTGAGCATCACTGGGTGTGACCCAAAAAGCAAAAAAAAGGGGGGGCAATATATTCTTTGGGGCTACAGCAGAGGTAGGTCACATTTCTTGGGGCTACAGAAGGTAGGCCATTTGCCTTTTCATGTGACTGACCTGGGTTTAATCCCTGGCTGGGAGTAACCCCTGAACATTGCCAGGTGTGGCACAAGACCAAAAACAAGTCTGTACTCTTTCATTCAATTTTATGTGGATACCAAAATTTCCCATCATAAATTTAAGTTACAAAGGATATAATTTCTGACTTACCATAAATTTTGTGAGATTTTGTGTGTGTGTGTGTGTGTGTGTGTGTTGGAGGGAGGGTTTGCTACACCCAGTGGCCCTCAGGTCTTACTCCTGGTTCTGTGCTTAGGGATCACTCTTGGCAGGGCTGGGGAGAACATATATATTGCAGGGGATTGAACCCGGGTGCTACTTCCAAAGCAAGTTTTCTGCTGTACTTCTCCCCAGCCCTGTTTGTCTCTGGGGCTACTTCTGGACTGTTTCTTAAGGATCACTTCCAGCAGTGCTTGGGCAACTTTGTGATGCCAGGGATGGAGACCAGGCCTCCCTAACACAAAGCATGCACACACTCCAGCCCTTTGCATTCTCTCCCCAGCTCCAGTATCATTTTTGGCATTTTAAACTCAAACCATTAAAATGAACCCAATGGGAGAGTGAAAGGGAATCTACCTGCCACAGAAACAGGAGGGGGGATGGGGGAATGGCGGGAGGGATATTGGGATCATTGGGGGTGGAGATTGGGTGCTGGTGGAAGGACGGGTACTCGATCATTGTATGACCAAAATGTAATCACGAAAGTTTATAAATCTGTAACTATATCTCATGGT